AGCAAAATGACAATGATACATAAATGAACAAAGGACTACTAGCAGTTACTGACATGCCAGCTCCAGACCTCAATTAAACTGATTGAAAGATTATGTCTTCATCATATGAAAATTAAGTACAATCCCTCCCGTTAGGGGTTTAGTATCATACCATCATAAAATATATGAGATGAACACAACCCGTATCATGCCAACAACTGGTTTTAGAATAAATGTGTTTATTTCCGATGCAAAGACCCTATGAGTGATTCAATATTAATACCAAAATATGTAATCCTTAAAGACTTGACAACAGTATCGTAACTATATCCTTTCCGAATAAGTCTGTTTAAAGGTTTGATTAGCTTTTGAGGTGAATGCCGACATTTTTGTGCTCTGTAAAGAATATTAACATAAAATATTGGATGTGAAATACCTGAACGTATAAGATGTCAGCATGTTGATTTATATTTACGAATGATGTCCTTGTACCGATGATAAAATTTAGTAAATGTTTTGACTAGTTTGTGATATCGAAAACCCTAGTGTAATAATTTTTCAGTAATACAGAGATTTCTTTCGTTGAAATTATAGTCGTTATATTTGTACGAGACAGCCTGAGACAATGAATTCGAAGGAAGAATTTTCTTTAAAGCAACATTTTGTTATACATGTAGTGTAGTTATATTCATTTAAAAGTAGATACATAATTTATTTATCAACTTAAATCAAAGCTATCATTTATGATTACATGAGTATACAAAGAAAAGGGAAGGAAACTGTTACAATGTCTATTACTAATGAATAACTACCACAAAACCAAATAAACATAATATACTACAAATAACAATGCATATGGCACCAATTCCCTCGATGATACAACGTTCGATGGCTATGCTGATCCATCTATCGAATACGTTTGATTCAACTCGTTTTTGTTCTTTCAAAATATTTTGTTTGAGACGACGTCATATTGCATCATGTATGTGTTTGAACATCGGTCCGTCGAACAATGGATTGAATATCTTGATTTGGATAATTTCCGTATTGCAGCAGATATATTTGAAAATGATAAAATCGATATATCTATTAAGGCTGGGTTCAATAGTGTACATAAGAATACAGATGCATAAAAATGTCAAGCAGGCAAAATGACCTTGTAAGTTCATGGATGAAAGGTTACTGGTTTTTTCATAAAACATTTTTTCTACATGAGGACTAATAAAATCAGCGTATTTCAAAAGTTTTTTTCCTGGTAATGAAAACGATGTGAATCACACAATCCGATTTTAGTGTTCACAAGATGCGATTTAAATCGAAAGCAGGTGCACTGGTAAAAATCGAATTAAAATCGGATGCAAAATCGTACCGTGAATATGAACCTTTATCGCATCGCGGGTACATTATCACGTTGTGATTGGTTTAACGCCGTCACGTGGTGAACCCTATGGATCCGTAGGGGGTTAGTAAATTTCATAGGGGGTTCATGACGTCACGTCTACTATTAATGGTGACGTCATCTATTAATGTTGTTGTGTTTCATTGTTTATATTTCTACAAAAGGCAGCAGAAAAAGTCCCGCGTGCGATAAATTCGTTATACGGTTCACTACTGACCCCTAAGGACCAAAGAGGGTGAATAAAATCCATAGGAGATTCGGCCTTCGGCCTCACCCCTATGGATTTACTAACCCTCTATGGATCAGTAGGGGTCAGTAGCGAACCATATAACTTATATTAGTTGGTTGTTGTTAGATATAAGAAAATGTAGTATGAGTACCAATGAGAAAACTCTCAATCCAAGTCACAATTTGTAAAAGTAAACCATTATGGTCAAAGTATGGTTTTAAACACGGAGCCTTGGCTCACACCGAACAGCAAGCAATAAAGGGCCCAAAAAATGACTAGTGTAAAACCATTCAAACGGGGTTTGGATTTATGAGTTTATCTCTGTAGTGTTTTGTCGTCTATTGTTTTTCTTTTGTCTTTTTTTCTATTTGTGGTTTGTATGTCCCTTTTCAAATTCACCCTTCTCGGTGTATCCTTATATTTTTCGAATGTATGTTTCCTGTTGGCATCGTTGAGTTTGTGTGTAACAGAGACACAAATTATTAAAACGGGCCGGGGATGCATTTCAAGAAGTTTGCTATTGTATATGAGTATTTAAATATTTATTGTTTAATTCACTGTAAGCTGTTTAGGACATTTAGTCAGAGTAATTGCTTCGTAAACCACTTAATTGCATAACATTTCTACACTGTATATTATTTAACATACAGACCAGATGTAAGATATATATGTTAATCTTAATCTTGATGTATTATACTCTTAAATATAAATAAGAAAAACCTTATCAAAATATTCATTGCATGATGCATGTTTTGACGTTGAAAACCATCATTATTGTCATTTGAATAAAAAAAAAAACGAGTTTAAATTGATATGGTATAGAAAAGTCATTAAAGTGTATTTCAGATACTGATAGTAGTCGCATACAAACCGTTTACCCCGTATGCAAATATGATGACGCCTAAATATTTGTAACTTGGAGCCAATATCATCAATTATCACATATTTGTTACGAAAACATTGGTTTTTGCATAATTATGTAATAACCGCAAAATTGTCCTACTCATATTGCTGCCCGGGGGAAAAAAGTGGTTATTGGTTATTGTGCCCCGATTCCAAATGACGTGACGTCATTGAGTCCCTAACGACAATGACGGTGTTTGTATTGAAAATTATGAGAATTCTGCTAAAATGGCCGCTAGTAACAATGTCCAACCAACCCAACTATTATCGATTTAGCCTTAGTTATGGCAAATTATCGCTTTTGTGTATAACCATATTCAAAAATAATGGGAAATGTTACTATAAATTTGTACGCAGTAAATGAGAGAGATTTTACCTGATGTTGTTAATTTTAAAATAGTTATAATTGAACGTTTTTCTCTTTTCTGCAGAAACTAAATATGTGATCAATAGATTATAACATGTCTTTTCCATATTGGCCCTTGTATCATCCCTCGACCCATATCGACCCTCGGCTAAAGCCTCGGGCAGATATGGGAGTCTCGGGATGATACCAGGGTCAATATGGAAAAGGGCATGTTATAATCTTTAAATTATGTACATAACAATATGGTAGAGAGAACGACATATTCTCTGAAGGTTCCTTTTTTATTTGTAAGAGGAACAATGATCATGTGTCTCGACTACAAAAAGACCCAACAGTAAGGTTCAAATCAAATATGTTAACAACCAAGTAAAGAGCAAAGTTGAAGAGCATTCAGAAGCTATAATTTACTAAGTTTTTACCAAATAAAGCTAAAGTTATCTTTTTCTAGAGTAGAAAATCCTTAAAAGTATGCCCAGCATGTAGTATATATCATGTACTACATGATTTTTTAATCCAGACAAAACAAAAATAATGATTTTGTTTTCAAATTATGACGCAATAGATCTAAAATTCTCTTTAAATGATAAAGAAATTCCTGTTACAAAATGCCACAAAATACAAACAACTTGGGGTAAAGATTTGCTCTGATGCTCAGTGGAATAGCCATAAAGACAATTTGATTATTAGTGTTACGAAACCATCATATATTCTGAGAACACTCAAGTACAAATGTACCAACTTTCTCAGAGAAAAAAAAAAGAAAAACTCTATTTAGTATTTTTAAGACCAATTTTTAATATGCAACTGAGGTTTGGGTTAATTGTGGGACAGGATATGCTAATAAATGTGAAAGTTTGAAGCTAGAAGCTGCTAGAATACATGTAGTTATTGGTTTGCCTATACATGTATTGAGCTGAAGGTCTATATGAAGAAGTTGGGTGGGAAACTTAAGCTTACAGGAGGAAAAGACGAAAATTTCTCAAATGTTTATAACATTCAATATAAACAAGCTCCGTATTATCTATGCAAACTTGTTCCACCCTGTGTACAAAGCACAACTGTATATATCCCTTGAAAAATGGCAATGATATCATTGTTCCTTTTTGTAGATTATACCTTACTAAAGAATCTTTCGTACTATCAACTATATTAGACAATGGAATCATACCGATAGCAGACTCTATCTCAAAATTTAAAATCCAATTAAAAACGCTAAATACTATAAATAAGGATGTATCTAAGCACTTTATTTACATGGACTGAGGAAACTAAAATATAATATTCTTACTCAATTAAGATGCTACTTTTTTTTCTGTAATTATGACTTGTTTAAAGTCAATACAATTACCGCCCAATCTTGTCTTTGTGGATGCAACATTGAGATTGTACACCATTTCCTTTTCGATTGTTCTTTGTATACAGACCAGAGAGAAATTCTGATAAACAATCTAAGATGGCTCCCTGATGATCGTATATTGAATGTTAAGTTACTAACATCTGGTAATCCGAACCTTTCGTATGAACAAAACGTCCATATATTTAAACATGTATTCGAGGTTAAAAAAAGGTCTGAGAGATTTTTTTGTCATATGATACTGCGGTACATTCATGATCATAATCATTATTACCAATGTTTCCGTTATTATTATTTCATTTTTTTCAATAACTAGACTTGTAAACTTAAGTATATTTGTAAATATTGCATGCTTATAATATTGTATTATAATATTTTTATTTGTTGTTATTCGGAACGGACTTCATAAGTATGGTCCATTTGTGTCCAATCCATTTTTCTTTGAGTAAATAAAATATCTGTAAACTAAACATGGTTGAGGGCATACGGTAGTTGCAGGGTCAGGGAGGGTAATGAAGTCGTTAAAGTGCTATGTCATTTTTCGCGACTTCAAACTAATGAAAAGATTTTTTTTTAACTGTATGGTATGCCTTTAAGGTTTTTTTCAAGGATCCTGTTTGGTTGAGTGTTGGGTTCCTGTCTCAATAACATTTACCCATCAACACTTTTCATACATTTATACATGTGATAAATTTGCTGCTTTGGTGCCATCTCATTGACGTAAATTACGCATCAATCTATCATTTTCTAAGAACTGGTTGAGTCACTATCACTGTATGCAACCATTATTTATTAGCTTCGAAAAACATGTTTTTATGTACATTTCGTTGTAGAATAATATTGATAGTGATAGAAAGTACAAATTTAAATCTCTGAAAAAAACATAGCAATTCACAACAAACTAAATGGCAGTAAGATTTCAGATTTTGCGACTATAAACATATCTGTAAATTAATGTGAGTTTACAATATATCCTTAATTACAAAAATGTACATTCAATTGACGAGACTTTTACAAAGTGAACTATATATCCTCTACTCGATATCAATGAATGATTGATTGATTGTTTGTTGATTAACGTCCAGTGACAAATATTTCATGCATGTTCAGAACAATATAACAATGAATCGTTAAGGAGATACTTTCAAATTTAATTCACAATTTGATATGTATTTTCAAATATGCGTGCTATATGGTATAACTTTTTTGGAATGTTCAGATGGAAAGTCTCTTAATAAAGTTGAAAATTCAATGTTTTTCCTAATCAATTAATTAGATTTATTTGTTTTTTTGTCTAGCGAATCTATTGACTTTTTTTTTATTCCTCTCATGAGAAGAAGATATCACTACGGCAACACTGAACACAACTTTAGCCAAAATTATACATATTTTCTTGGATTTCATTTAACGAAGTAACCGGTTTTCTGCTCAAGTAGCCCGATTTTCCTAACGCAGGTGATCCATGACTTTTTAACCTCTGTTCACTGTTTACAGACTGTCTATTTCCTTCCACTAACACCTTCCGCGGTTTTGATGGGAAGGTATTTGTTGTAGTTCTTGCTGCATTAATATCAGGAAGTTTCATTTCCTTTCGCTCAAAATGTTCGTAAATTGATTCATCAATTAGCGGACTATATCCTGTCGGAAGTCGTATATCGCTAATTGGTTCACGTTTGATGGAAGATGTTCGTGGCGTAGGTTGAGGTGACGGTTGAAATACACTCTCGTCGTCGGCATCCAATGATTCCACTGGATTTGGAGATGGTTGTAGTGGGAGAGATTCTCCCCTACTTTCTATCGTAGTGTGTGGAGTAATATTAACAGTTGTACAAGATCGTGTAATTATTGTTAGCTGAGGCGAGTTGGAGTTATTGGTTGATACTGGGTTGGATGAAAATGCAGAATGTTCCCGGGCTCCACGTCTACTATTTAAATCCCATCCGTCATGTATAGAACGCTCACCAGGCGTGGAATATGATCTTGGCACTTGTAAGGGTTCATCCAACATTTCCCCTTTTCGTCGATATTTGTGAAATATTTCTGGCACCGGTTGTGAACACAAGGACCTCAGCCATTTTGAATTTGAATATGCAGCTAATCTGTTTTGAAATGCTTGATCAACATAATAGTAATCAAAATTCTTTCTTCTCGCAAGATTGTCTGATCTCATATGCCTATTTGTATTTAATCGAAATCCGTGAGGACCTTTATGCGGCTGTCCTTTTGGAAAACTCTTGACCTTACTAAAATCTAGAGACACAAACGTCAAACTCTCAGGTATTTTCTGACGAAGAGGTCGATGTGAGTTCAAAGGAGTTGACACGGGACATCGTAGAAAGGGACCTGGTTCCGGTGAAGCACGTAAACAATTTTCTATTTTACTTCTGTCTGGGAAGTACCCGTTTTTCTTGTTTGTTGTCATCACCATCTTTAAAAGAAAAAAAGATAAAAACATTTTGGTAATGTGAAAATATACTCGTTATCTGTTATATTTATTAGGATATAATATATTGTACATTTAGATGCTTCTGTAAATCCAATAGTTCCACACATTTTCCCAGAAAACACATACAACAAATAAAAAAGTGGAAAAGAAAATTAATGATTGAGGAATTCCTCAACGTCCAGGGGTAAAATTCAAATTAAAGCTTCACATTGTTTCAAGTGGCTGATAGTTTACAACATCTAAACGTAAGAACACACAATAATCTGTTTATAAATCGTACTATTTCTGGTACCCCTTCCCTTAGACATATTAACGCTTGACATAAGAAAGCTTCATAACGCCTCCTCACTCTTTGTGACGTAGCTCATAACTTCTCGTCAAACATTGTGACACTGCTGATAAGTTCTGTTTACATCTCAAAACCGTGATACCAGTATTCAGAGGGACCAAGCAAGGTGATATAGGCAAAAGGAAGGACGATAATCAACTTTATACATTTATTACGTCGACTATCTGATAACTATTAGTTTAATATATCTGTGGCTTATTGTTTGGAGCATTTAGGATGATAGCATACAAAAAAAAATGGTGGTTTCAGTTATGAATTTGACCGCTAATGATGGTAAAATTTTGACAGGCAAGATTTCATTTGCCAAAATTTTACCATAAGGGTTGACTTTGTATAACAATATGGTCCTCCCTGAATTTATCCCGTATGGCAGTATTAACTCTTACAAGAGTGAAGCGTCCGTTTGGCTGTGCGGGATGTATAAATACACAGCTACGTCCGGTAGGAAAGGGAACGTTTAATCCGATGTATAGGACGAGTGCCCTCATCACTGTGAGTTCAAGAACCTTTGCAACAATTCTAATTTGGGTTTGTAGGTGACCTGTTGCAGGATCCTATCAACAATAACCTCATTTTCAAGTTGGCAATCCAATGTTCTCGCCTTCAATCCTGGTCGACCTGCCTATTGTATTTAGTATTGTTTGATTTGTTCTCTTACTTAATATGCAGACATTTGCCAATGCAAGGTACGCAAGTAACACCAATTATTCAATCATACAAAATTATCAATGAAATATTTTTACACCAGTCTGAACAGTCTGGAATCGAAGGCATGGCTGTCTCCTACAAATGCAGGGATGTTCAGGAAATATCTAAGTTTGATTTAAATCTAAACTAAATTTTGACAAAAATAACTATATTAAAACGCTTTGACGGGATAAGATATTTGGAATTTTTCCGACTTTGAAAAAGCTTCAATGTATTAAAGCTCATAGTTGAAATAAAATACCAAAATCATCTGTAGATGTTTACAGAAATCGGCCTTAAGAAAACTTAGTTCTGGAACGGTGTAGAAATGGACACACTGATGTGACCAAAAAAAAAAACGCAACAGTATACACATCAACCTCAGAAGAACTATTCTTGTATCAATACATGCACGTTGATGATATTTCAACCTATTGTGACAAAGTGTTTTTTGTTTTGATTAGTTTTCGTTTTTATTTTAATTAATTTTATTTTTCCTACACGTTTGAATTTTTTAAAAGATATTCAACTTGGGACAATGGTGTTCGTCTTGATAACCATGGAGGTCGTTTAATTCTAAATTACAGTATAATTTGAAGAAAAGGAGTTATTTTTAATGGCGGTAATGTTTGTTAGCAGTCGAGATCACTTTACGCACGATTAAGAAAAATTTTAAATAAAGACCAATTTTGCTTTTCTTGTCATCGCAGAGTGTTCTAATGGAGAACCAATTAATAAGTTGAATATATAGAAAACCAAGCAATAGTAAAATCTTGTATAAAATAGTCGTCTGAGATACCCAATTCAAAATATGCGTCTGTAAAATGCGTTTATCCAGATACATTTACCGACTGTTCAAATGACGACAAAAATCCCACTAACGACAAAGATTAAAGAGAAAGAGAATTCAAATACTAAATACAAAAGAAAACGAGCAACTAAACAACAAACAACTTAAGCGTTCATACTTTATGAAAAAGGGAAGATACACTTTTGATTGCATTAACCTACAATTATATGGTAGCTTATTGAATTTTAAATAAAAGTAAATCTGAATCCGTTTTCAACAGAATTGTTCTTAAAATACTTACCAATGTGAAGTGCTTTACTTAGCTATATGAACAATTCACATGATTATATTGCAGAGTTTGTGAACCCTGTCTGCGACGTATTCCTCCCAGACCAACTATTGAACTATTTTAGTTGTAAAGCATATGAGATGAAAGATAACTTTTTGTTTGGTTCTCAAAAGAATATCACTGATCAAGTGTAAATTATTAACAACAATTCGATATCTAAACAATATAGGATTGTTTTATTAACTACCATCAGATATTCATTACTTTAGGCACTTTAATTTAATGGCGCTAAAATCAATTCCACATGAGAATGCAAAGATATAATGTAAATTATATTTATGGTAAAACATGCATGTATTATATGTATAGGTTTACGTTGATGGTGGTCATGTAAGAAACTATGACAGATTGCTAATAAGACTCGTTATCCGTTATAATAAGCTTAAACAAGTTTTTAATGTAATCCAATCTTGCTAACAGTTAATTAAGATTAACTTATTTCAACAACAGACTCTTTAATCCTTCTTTGAATTTGGCAAAGTAACACATACCGCGTAACCAAATATGTGCCAAATCTTAAGTATAAAAATATTTCTTTATTGGAGCACATTGTGAAAAAAAAACCTTACATATCATTTATGTTTAAAGTATAATTTATATCGAGATCGGTGTCAGTTATGTTATTGTTAATTTTATAAATTATTATATAAGCTATTGAAATTTATAATTATTCATCTAACTTCACACTACAGAGACAACTTTGATAGTTTTTCGTATCAAATCTATATGAAAGAGGGACGAAAGATACCAGAGGGACAGTCAAACTCACAGATCGAAAACAAACTGACAACGCCATGGCCAAAAATAAAAAGACAAACAGACAAATAATAGTACAGATGACACAACATAGAAAACTAAAGACTAAGCAACACGAACCCCACCAAAAACTGGGGGTGATCTCAGGTGCTCCGGAAGGGTAAGCAGATCCTGCTCCACATGTGGCACCCGTCGTGTTGCTTATGTTAATACAAATCCGGTAAATAGTCTAATTCGGTAGGTCACATTCGTGAAAAGGGAAGGGTATTGTAGTTATGACTTTACACTGGCATCGCAAATACATCCTATTGCGTATTGTTAAACTAACAGTTGTGTCTTTTGGGGGATAGGGAGGGGGTACAATTAGTTGACAAATAATTAAGGACAAACAATACTTATTGATGCATGACATGTAAAGAGTTTTATAACTGTGACGGTTTAGAAAATTAATGTAAAAAAGTGACAAGAATTCTCCTTAAAATTGAAAGTAAGTCATTTAAATGTGTCTCTCGATTTCAGGAGAATCACTTTTCACACATGGCGTTTTCTTATTATGTTTGACTGTACATTGTACTAGAATGGCATATACTAAGACAACAAAACATCTCTCTTATTTATTTATTTATTTACCCCGTTATTTATTTTCATTTTATATTTCTTGTTTTTTTAAAGAGATTTATATTTTCACAGGACTTACTAAAAGCCTACTTAAGTTTTAAATACAACTTGACATTAAATGGATTATGTCACCGGCTACAATGCTCAAAATCTATTTTTTCTTTTATCAACAGCAATTTGTTAGATTACTTACGAAATTTAAATGACACAATTAAATGACTTTTTATTATGAAAACCTTGTAATCATAACACATACAAACTAGAAGAATTGATATAAGTAAATGAGATAGCAATCAAATGACATAACATCAAAAGGAATCGATATATACATATATGAAATGGCCAAAAGACAGTCTTCGGTCTATATAATATGCCAAGTTCTTTATCGCAGCGAACTAAGAAAAACTAAATAAATGTAACACACTATTAATCATCAAATCCCAAAGTTGAAAGACATCAAATAGTCACATGATCATTTGGCGGTGGAAACTAGTTTTCTAAGTATTCGACATTGCCACTTAAAAACTCGGCCAGTGGAACAACATAGGGTAAATAGAAAGAATAACATTAATAAGCAGTCTAGTAGATATAAACTATAAAACACCTAGCTCCATTATACTGGTAAAACACATTTGTAAACAATATTAATAAAACCTGGCTCTATAAAAGAGGGACGAAAGATACCAGAGGGACAGTCAAACTCACAGATCAAAAACAAACTGACAACGCCATGGCCAAAAATAAAAAGACAAACAGACAAATAATAGTACACAAGACACAACATAGAAAACTAAAGACTAAGCAACACGAACCCCACCAAAAACTGGGGGTGATCTCAGGTGCTCCGGAAGGGTAAGCAGATCCTGCACCACATGTGGCACCCGTCGTGTTGCTTATGTTATTACAAATCCGGTAAATAGTCTAATTCGGTAGGTCACATTCGTGAAAAGGGAAGGGTATTGTAGTTACGACATAAGGAACATATCCGATATCATCTGTGAAACGGTTATTCCATAATATTGGAAGAGATAAACTATAAAAACACCTAGCTATATAATACTTGTATGAATAAATGTGTAAACAATAAAAAATCATAGCTCTATACACTGGTAAAACAGACAATAAAGCCATCTATCTGTATAATCGTGGTAAAAATAGACAACAAAGCCATATATCTGTATAATAGTGGTAAAAATAGACAACAAAGCCACCTATCTGTATAATCATGGTAAAAATAGACAACAAAGACACCTATCTGTATAATAGTGGTAAAATATACAACAAAGCCACCTATCAGTATAATAGTGGTAAAAATAGACAACAAAGCCACCTATCTATATAATAGTGGTAAAATAGACAACAAAGCCACCTATCTGTATAATAGTGGTAAAATATACAACAAAGCCACCTATCTGTATAATAGTGGTAAAAAAGATACAAAAAAGCCACCTTTCTGTATAATCGTGGTAAAAATAGACAACAAATCCACCTATCTGTATAATCGTGGTAAAAATAGACAACAAAGCCACCTATCTGTATAATAGTGGTAAAATAGACAACAAAGACACCTATCTGTATAATAGTGGTAAAATGTACAACAAAGCCACCTATCTGTATATTAGTAGTAAAAAATATACAACAAAGCCACCTTTCTGTATAATAGTGGTAAAATATACAACAAAGCCACCTATTTGTATAATCGTGGTAAAAATAGACAACAAAGCCACCTATCTGTATAATAGTGGTAAAATATACAACAAAGCCACCTATCTGTATAATCGTGGTAAAAATAGACAACAAAGCCACCTATCTGTATAATAGTGGTAAAAATAGACAACAAAGCCATCTATCTGTATAAAACTGGTAAAATAAACAATAAAAACATTGATACCAGTGAAATAATATTAAATATTATCGAATCTAAGACTTTTCGCAGTTGAAGGTAAATCCAGAAAAGCGCTTCGGACGCACCAAATTTATACAGTGCTATTTTCAATAAGCATACTCAGAGTACAGTAACCTTCTGATGTAAAAAGAGGCAATTTATATTTTACTGTTGCTACATATAAGTGCTGGGAAATTACCTTAAACCACTAGTATATCAAAGTTCCAATATTACAATATATTTGTTCCTGTTGCTACTGGGTGTCATCATTAGTTTGACCCAAGTGTTGACTAAAGAATAACTACACAGACTTCACCTGTCTGGCAGTAAAATGCTAAATTTAGTTTTTGTAATGATGGCATTGAATCCGGCAGAATGCCACGCCCTCTCTGTGTAAAATGCGTCGAAACAGATTTTTGAGGTGTCCGGTCCGCAGATGGCCCTTTGCAAGGCTTCTTTATTTTGTCCCCATCTAACCTTCTTTTTCAAGTGATAAGATAGTTCAACCTTTCTCTATGTTTATGAAAAAATGCCTCTAGACATTATGCAAACACAATCTATCAATCAATATTAGCTAAATATTTTTACTACACTGTCAAGACCGATACACCAACATCAAAGAAATTAGTTGGGTTTCACGAATAACTGATAGGAATGTTTTTACTCATAACAGGGCGCAACGTAAATACATGTCTTTAAGATAGAAACTAATATACCATGTGATATCCTATTTTACTTCCTTTACTGCGCCTTTTCAACTTAAGAAAATGAAATCAAATGTCAAACAAATTTTTTTTCTTAACAAAAAATGTTATTAATGTATTCCCGAACTGCTGCCAAAATTAGCACACTTAGTCTATTTATTTATCAATTTTAAAAAATGTATCCATTTTGTAAATTTTCCAAACTGAAATTAGCAGGACAATAAACCAGATAATTTAAAATCACTGCATATGATTAACTTCCGTCGTAAGAGTGTTTGTGCTATCCGATCAGCACGTTCATGATGCTGCTTCATTAACTGCAATTTCAAACGAAATTCTAAACTTGCTCTCTCATGCTAAAATTCAAATTGGCACATGTGTACATATGTACAGTGTGCAACTTTCATCTCCAATACTAGTATTTGCCATGCTTTGTGCAATAGGAACGCAAGCCAAGTAAACATATATTCTTCCTTACGTTCGTATTGCCGGTAACTGAAAACAATAAATGGATGAGTACATAAAATATAATTTGATATTTCAGTTTGAGTTCAATATAGTATAGGTTTTTTAGTTGTCTTTTGAAACTTACCCCTCCGTCACGATAGTACATCCCCATGTTTTACGTCCAAGTGTAAAATAAACCCATCTAAATAATATTTGACAATTTAAATATAACGATACTTAATTATATCAGATGTTTATCACAAACCTTTTTATCCTTGGTAGAACGATAAAAACGTTAAATGTCCTCGCGTATCCATATCCTGTCGAAACTGATCCATGTAATTATCATTTTAAATGTAACTTTTGTCAACTCAAAAAATCAGATAGGTATTAAATCCTTACTATGTAAATAAAATAGTTATATTTCTACCTTTGTACATATCTATACCATTGTAGGATTTATAATTAACTGATCGGTATTGGCCAGAGATTGACCAACTGTTTGGATTATTTCCAGTCCAACTTCACATATTGAGCGATAACTAACCGTATTAATCCAAAATAATCTAGATCTGGTTTATCTATAGTCACATGACAGTTGAAAGAAGTCAATTTGGAGTTAAATATTTATGCATTCATTGATTACAGATTATTTAAAAAAAAACTTAATCTAACCAATTACTTAAATTACATTTTAAAACTAATTAAGAGTCAAAAACAATTATTTTAATTTAATATGTTAATTGATTATATTCAGTTTAATTTTATTATATTGATTGATTGATTGGTGGAAGAAGCCGGAGTGCCCCAGAGAACCACTGACCTTCGGTAAAAAACTTGACAATCCTAGTCATTTAAGATCGGAGTCGAACTTGCCGGATTTCAACTCACAACCTCAGTGTTGACAGGATTATAGATACAGTGGTTCGACTATTCAGACCACTCGGCCACCAGAGACCCCAAAATTTATTTTATTATAGAATTGAATGATGTTTTTGAAAATTTATACGAAATGAAAGCAAGTGACCATCACATTTTGCGTGAAGTTCATTCTAGATCTACATGTATAAATAAATAGCCACACCTGAGCTTAATAGTCGGTCGCCCCCTATCGCAGGACCTATCTTTGTCACCTATTGCAATTTTTTTAATATGTTTATGTCCTGAACATGCATGACATATTTGCCGATGGACGTAAAGCAGACAACAATCAAACTGATCGGAATAGTGACGTTAAGTCCAGTGTCTGCACATTATAAACTCCAGCAAAGACTAATTGATTGGTAAGTAGGTAGCGTGATGGTCCGAATGGGGTTTACAAAATGGAGAATAAAGGACAAAAAAATTAAGAATAGAGGAAAATAGTCCAAAAACTAAAAGAATAGTGAATAAGGTTGGGATTAAAAAAAAAAGAATAGGGAATAATGTGCATAATAAAGAAGAATAGAGAAAATGGTCTTTAAAATAAAGCATACAAAATAAAGCACCCCCTAATCCAGACCTTATGACATGTTGCAATGCAAAATTCATGACCCTATCTTGCATACACTCTTTTAACCACTTTTCATCACGGTAAACCAACATTGCCAAATATATCTTTGGACTTTATTGCATAGCCAGAAATAAGTAGTACTTTTGCTAATTAATATTCATAATATGTAAATGAGAATTGTACCACGTGATAATAGTTTGAACTGGATTGGCTTGATATCATTAAAATCTTTAAAACACGGATATTATAAGTTGCCCGTCACAGAGTCCTTGTTTATAATCACTCTGATATTTCCTTAAAGTTGTCAGGCGGTCAATGAACGCGAATTTATTGAATTTTTCGTGTTTTCGTGAGTTAATTCTTCTTGAAATAGGGGCATTTTAACTTTACGTGGGAACCTAGAGTTCAACGACTACACATACAAGGTTTGGACTTGCTATTCTTTGGACATTCAAGTTTCAAGTTTCATCCCCGCAACCTGTTTTTAAAGGCAGTGCTTTAATGCCTTTCTGGTTGCCGGGTTATAAATCTTTCCTTCCGCGATGTCCAACTTATCTACGTGGGGGGTCATAAGGCTCCAAGTAGATCTGGAAATGTTGAATTCTCTCCTCTTATTGTGATATAAAATGTTTTTTGTTTCGTTTCATTTACATCGGGAAATAGAGAAACGATCATTGTGTTTTGTTAGTTTTAAAAACTTTTGATATATATGTATTTTGCATTATAAGCAGTCAACCGATTGACAAACTAGAATTATTTGAATTCCGTGTGGAAAAAGCTCGGGTTAATTTCGAGTGTTATCTGCAATCTAGATGTTTATAAATCATTTCAGTCGTTGATATAATAATTAAAGGTCGACTGAACATGAATTATATTATACAATTTAAAGCGCATTTCTGTTTATGCACGTGAACCCGTCTCACGTTATTGTTATTTCGCAGTTATATAAAGTAGCAAATTATCGTTCCTGAATAGGTGGCGCCGTGGTAGCCGATCCTGTTCCTCAACTTCCGGTTTCTGCACTGTGCAACTATTTCAGTTACATTTTTAATTAACGATGCCAAGCTTTTGTTGTTGTGTACCTGGATGTCATTTAAGAGGAGGACATGCATTTCCAAATGACTTCAAAAGAAGGAAAATGTGGATCAACCCCATGGCCCATACGCAGATTGGACGGGAACACGATGAAATCGTGGAGTCCATCTCAATCAGCTGTTGTTTGCAAGGCACGTTTTACTGAAAAAGACTACGTGCAGGAAACTATTCATGGTAAAACTCTATTTTCTTTTTGAAATATATAGTTATATATGTAATCGCCATGCGATAAACCAAAGTCTGTTTACAACCGCAATTATCGTTTTAGAATAAAAGGGGCTGGTTAATTCAAGACGTCATAATTTTTTGGATTACGATTCAATGTGATCTGTTTGAGATATTTTGGTGATTGCTACAATTATAATAATTTCTTACAAGAGGTAATGCTTATGACATGTAGTAATGACAGGAATGCATAAGCTATGCCTCATAGACTTTCTTGAAAAATGTCAATGACAATGTTAACAGGAACAAAACAATGACATGCTGTCATCTATATTATAGTTATTTAGGTACAAACAATGTACGTTTGTTGCATAAGTCTCTCATTGTTTGTCCTTTGGATTTAAATAACATACATTGAATCAGGCAAACATAGTTTTATCCAGATTGTAATGAATAAATCTAGTTAATATTTAGCCAGGTAGTACAAAGTATACATTGCTAATGGAAGTTCATTTAATTATCAAAAAACTAATGTTTTATAACCTTTTTCAGGGCGCAAACCCACCATACAGAGACTTAAGTCTACTGCCATTCCCAGCCTATTTTCCTGGACCAAGCAAGAGACTGAATCGTCCGCTAAAAGAAAAATCAGGGAAGTTTCCTGTGAAAACAAAAGAACTAAACTTGATGAATATTGTAGTAGAAATCTAGAGGAAAGTTTTGATTGTAAAGTTGGTTTTCCTGAAGAAGTCATTCACACCGCAGAAAGGATTTATGACTGTCCACCACCAACTGCCGAGCTAATGTTGAGCTTCACAGATGGAATTACGCAAACACCATCAATGCCTATGTTTTCAGCAGAGAATTTTGAAATGAAGACACGTGACACAGCCATGCATTTTTATACCGGTTTAGAGTTGTATTACTAAATATTTATTTGTTTTGACCACACTTGGTCAGCAGCACATTGTTTGAGATACATATATTTTCAAATTGATAGGGTGTCAGTTGAAAATCAGTTTTTTTATGACTTTGATGAAATTGAGGCATTATACAACCAACTTTGAACTGTCTAGATTCTAGATTGAATCTAGTGTTAAGAATATTGTGTATACATGGATTGTTTTTACGTCTAAACAGTGGTGTGAGGCTAACACTAGCCATCTAGTGGTTTAGTCAGGTATTTTTCGCCATCCAACTTCAAATTAAAGTTTCCTATGACTTGGATTATTATTGACAGCACAGAATATCCCGTGATAAAACCTAAAGCTCCTAGAGCTCAGGCAACCTTTTCATCATATAAAAACAGAAACACTGAAAATTCTTGTATGTTCGACACCTGGTGGTTTAGTCAACTATGTCCCTAATGCATATGTTGGTTGTACCAGTGACCATGGAATAGTTGAAAGATGTAGAATATTTCAATTATGTGATCCAGGTGACAGTGTGATGGCAGACAAAGGTTTAAATGTGCAAGATTTGTTTGCTAACTTTTTTCAAAAAAAGAAACAGAATTAGTTCCAAAACTCTTATACGGGATAGAAAAGTCTCCAATTAACACGTGCACATAGAGCGAATTATTGGACTTGGCAAAACATTCAAAATTCTAATTCCTATGAATGGAACTGAAACAAAACTTTCATCTGAAATAACATTTAGTTGTTTTATGTTGTGTAATTTTAGAACTTGTATTGTGCCAAAGTATGCATAAATAAAAGTGATATATATATATATATTTACAATTACATGCACATGTAAATTGTAATGCATATAAAAATAAGGAGATGTGGTATGATATTCAGTGAGTTTATCGAACTAAAGTGCATAAGAAATGGGTTTAAGCAGTTACAGGTGTTACTGTCACCGTACAATCTCCAACAATGAGAAAAACTCGTACCGTGTAAAAAATTTCAGAGATCTTACAACTAAGTTTTGTTGTCTCACCTTGACTTTGGTGAATTGTTTATATCTGTTGATGTAAATATAAAAAAGATGTGGTATGATTGCCAATGAGAAAACTCTCCACAAGAGACCAAATGACACAGAAATTATCAGCTATAGGTCACAGTACGGCTTTCAACAATGAGCAAAGCCCATACCGCACAGTCAGCTATAAAAGGCCCCGAAATGACAATGTAAAACAATTAAAACAAGAAAACTAACGGCCTAATTTATGTACAAAAAATGAACGAATATAACACAAATATGCAACACATAAACAAACTACAACCACTTAATTACAGGCTCCTGACTTGGGACAGGCACATACATGTACATACAGAATGTGGCGGGGGTTAAACATGTTAGCGGGATCCCAACCCTCCCCCTAACCTGGGACAGTGGTGTAACAGTACAATATAAGAACTAACTATAAAAATCAGTTGAACGAGGCTTAACTCATCAGATGGATAAATACAAATACAAGTGGACGTGGTCGGGTAGTTGTACATCCAAACAACAAAAAGACACTAAGTACAGATCTGAGAGTACTCGCAGTTACTAACAGCTAGTTCAAAGCCACTAACAACTGATAAAAAAATCTTGCATCTAAGACTAAATTATCAATCCGTAAGCTCCCTTTAGAATTTTATAAATTTTAGATTTTACATTTCTGAGTTATTGGGTTTTATTCATTAAAAAAGGGGGGATTTTCCAGTTTTTGGACAACAACTCAAAAATGCTTTAAGCAGTTCACGTGAAACTTTGGTGAATTATTTATAGCTATTGATGTAATCTCCCTATTGATTTTCATAAATTTCAAATATGACATTGAGAAGAAATTGAACTTTATTTGTTTATAGTCTGGCAACAGATTTCTT